GTTTGTGCTACCCAGTATTTGATGATCAATATGGTATTAAGTGCAATCGCAGAGGTATATATGGTTAGTACTGATACAGCGACACATGCAATGCTCACTGACCTCAGGCCGCTCATCTGCAACAATGAATGGCACGGGAAGCTAAGTTTTCATGGCGTAAAATCACTTGTGTTTTAAATGTTAAGATTTTAGAGGTACAACGTTCTCGGTCAAATATTATAATATTCTTTAAAAGGCACACTCGGCGGGATCATTTTTAAGAAGAAGCAAAGAAAACAACAACAAAATTCAGTCAAACACAAGTCACTTACTACATGGACCGACATTTAAGAGTATTGTGGTATTTTAATTCTCACCAAAGCAGAGGAGGGTCTGGATCTGTTCACGGCTAAAACCAATCCCATGATGCCGATGGGTATGACCTGAAAAAAACATTAAATTGCTCGATTAATAGTCATAGAATGTATACGATTAATATCGGAGATGATTTCAATATGGTCACTTTTGAGAAGGTACTTACTTTTATATTTCAGCTGGTAAGTCCCTGAAGGACATCAATTCATTGACAAGAGCACAGAAATGATAAAGCACATTTCGACTGAACGTCGTGAAATCGTAAATTAGTAATACCGTAATTTCCGGCCGACACCTGCGGGTATTCTGTTAATTTTTCCACAAACAGTTGTTGATGCGGGTTATAGGAAAGTGCGGGTAATACGATAACTTTTAAGGCTTCCGGTATAGTTTTAAAACTTTAAGCAGGAAAAAAAAAGAGATGATAAGATCCACTATAGATGTTCTTCAAAACACCTGTGTGATAACTCATTTATCTCGCGCAGATTGCTTATTATAATAAGGGCATGTTTACATGGAGGTGGGGAACCCCAGGTAGGTGAGGTAACCCGCCTTGGTGGGGTAATCCGCCTGTCCATATAATCTCTTTTTTTATTTTGATCACGTTTACATGATAGGTGGCGTGACCCGCCTGGGCGGGTTACCCGGTCTGCCAGGTAGGGTAACCCTGTCAACCGGGGTGACAATTTCCCATGTAAACGTCTAAAGGTGGGGTAACCTGCCTAGCCGGGGTCGCGTTCATGGCAAAAAAGCTCAAAAGCGAAACATGTACGTTTCAAGAATTTGTACATTTCCTAGCCGTCTCATGGCAAAAATCACCAGAAACCGCAACGGACACACAAGGAGTGTAAAATGTTTACACTTCGGAATATTTAGCGTTGTAAATCGACCATATTTGGTTTCCCAAACTATTCCGTATAACGTATTAAGTCAACGGTTTCTAGCAAAACCAAACACCGCGTAACACAACGCGTGACGCTTTCATGAATAAATACATAAGTGTCCGAGAATTAATCTTTCGTTTTTTTCGAGATGTGAGCTTGGGATGCCTCTGCTCAAACTCCTTAATTGCAATCGCAACATTAACCTCAAGAAATCTCACCTCAGCACCCCGGGGTTGTAGGATTGCATGTAAACGCGTTCTATTTTTCGACCACGGCTAGGCGGGTTACCTCACCTACCTAGGGTCCCCCACCTTCATGTAAACAGGCCCTTAAAGAGTATTTTCTCGTTTCAAGCGATTTCTCCGACTCAATAGATCTCGAGATATTTTTTTTAGAACAGATTTTTGCAAGTGGTATCATTCTCAATGAAATTGCGAAGACAAAAAGTGTGAGAATTTATTAATTGCACGCTAAAGGATATCATGTCAACAAAAACAATGAAGGAACTTTGTGTTAGTCGACGATTTTCTTTTGTTTTTGGGTGCGGGTTATCTGCCAGTATGGTTGCTCTGTTGAAAATTTTTTCACGCCATTGCAAAAATTGACCGAGGCGGGTAATCTGCCGCGCGGGTAAATGGACCGCAATTACGGTAAATGTTAAAATGGAAGGAAGCATTGAAGTAGAATTAGGAAGAGAGACAAACGAAGAAGTACATTCATTGTAAATTTATTCAGATGTCTTCAATTTATTGTGGAAGAAAAGCAATCTCTGTAAAATGTTGTCTTTCCGGCTTCATTTGATTTTATAGAAGAAATTTTATAGAAGCCTTCAGCTTGCGTGACTTATATCACGCAACCTAATTGACGTATGGGAGCCGTTGGTGTCCAATTTTTTAAAGGCCCATTTTCACCCTTGATGCAACGCGCACCGCGACCCAATTTCCTGTAACACGAAATTCCCAGATTGCTAAAAACGTTCTAAAATCATCTTTCTCGAGAGCCATCCTGGACATACAGTCGTCTGTTTTACGGTAAATACATTCGCCGTTCGTCATTTTACAGTTTCCTTACAGTATTTTGAATTTTGTTTGGTAAAATCCGAAATTTTTTTTAGAGTGTCACGCTTAGATCTGTACGTACCTGTGTACAGCGAGGTCGGTGAAAGGACAACGTTCGAATTTTTTTTTTCACTTTCTAGAAGCACTTGAGGATTCTAAATAAAGATAAAATAATTTCTAATACAAATTGGTATTTTTCAAAGATAAATATGGAAAAATATCAGACTGCCGGACGCTTAGTTATTCGAAGACCGTGTCCGGTAGTGTTCGAAGAAAATTTTGTAAGTGTCACGCTTGGATCTCTTCGTACTCTGTGTTCTGGGTCGGCGAAACGGACAACGTTCGAATTTTTTCACTTTCTAGAAGCGTTTGAGGATTTTAAATGAAGGCAGAATATTTTCCAAGGAAAATTGGTATGTTTTGAAGAGAAATATAGAAATATGAAGTTATTTGAGGACCGTGTCTGGCCGTGTCTATGAAAAGCTTTTTTAAGTGTCAAGCACTTGGATGGCTTTGGACTCTATACACAGGGTTGGCGAAAAACATCAACTTCGAAATTTTTGGCTGCCTGGAAGCGCTTGAGGATCGTAAATAAAGGTAGAACATTTTCGTATAAATAATTTGGAATTCGAAGAGAAATATGGAAAAATATCGGACTGCCGGACGTTTAATTATTCTAAGACCGTGTCCGGCCGCCGGATGTTTAGTCACTTCATTGCGGGAACGTCAGCGACACTGACAGTTTGCGTTACAATTTTTATTTGCTGCTTTGCATGGACAACAACCTCGACCACTCTTTCGAGCGTAAGCTCCTCTCCACGGGCAGGAAACTTCATGATCAACTGACACTTGGTCCTATTTAACAAGGATGGCAAATTTCAACGAAAAAAAATTGATGTATGAATGAAAACTTGGTGGATCAACATTTTCACCTTCCTCGGAATATACTTGCAAGGATTTTCGTGTTCCTCTTTGTCAAAAACCGATCCATAAGCGTTTCCTGCCTCGGAGTCTACTAAATCAATGGATTCATCTGGTTCCATATACCAAACAGAATTTGACAAGCTCACCAAACTCATCAGAGAATACAGAGAAGCTATTTTGAGACAGCGTGACGAGGTAAAAATAACTGACCAAAGTGGTGGTTCAAAACAAAAACAAACGACCGCGTTGCGTCAAGGTTGGAAATAGGCCTTTAACGTTTCAGAAAATGCCTCACATTGAATCCAAAAATACTCTCATCGACAGATTTTTTTTTCGAAAACTTCTGTCTAAAAATACAAACTTACGTCGTTCTTAAAAGAGAAATTCGAGGTCAAATCATCGAGTTCCCTTCGTCTGGCAATGTAATCATTTGCATTTCTGATCGACTCTAGTGTAAAACATCTTGCGCATTGTTTATTTTGTTGACTGTGCGGCAAAACTGAGAGATGTCCTAAATTAACCTTAGAATGATGCAGACAGACTTATCGAAGTACTGCGTTATATTTCTCAATCTTCGAACTTATTCGATCGCTCAACAAATAAAAACAACAACAGTTGAATGTTCCCAGGTCACAGACGACCGATTCGCTTTTGAAGAGCGAACTTTGTACTCTACGTTTCCAATGTCATCATATTCTGACTCAGTTTGAGGATGCAGTTGTATTCTTATCGAAAGAATTACAGACAAGATATTTTCAGGTGGAAGGCTATGAATTCTGATGGTTTCAGACTATCCAGGGAAATGTGATTCTACGTAATACAGTTCACCCGACATCTGCAGTATAGGGGATTTGAACAGGATTTTACTTTAAGCTTCGAAGAAAATCCTGTCGAAAATAACGAAATTAGAACACCGTAACGACCAGATACTTATTTCAAACTGCAAGATTGAATATCTTTGCATGTTTTCTTGATCTAAACCCTCTGCTAGAAAATGTAAATTTAGACAGTACTTTGTATTTGCACTCTTTTGAGAAAATGTAATGTACAGTACTTACAAGAAGGGCAATCCAAATTGGCATCAATATGAGACTGGCATACATGAAGCGAACTTCAAAATGGTCTACCATTCCGAGAACGAAGAGGATACCTGCAATTACAAGCTGAGCGATCGAGATAATTATAAGGTCTCGTTTGTTGGAGGCCATTTCGCAGGATTCCTTGGCAAACTCAAAGGAACAATAGGGAAGGTCATGAGGCGGACTACAATTTATACGCCTGATGACGTCAATAGCCCTACGAATTTGCGTGCTCCGTATGACCTCACAGACATTCTGTGGGTTTGAGGCCGCGTGACGTCAGTTATGTGATATGCTAGTTGTCTTACATTTTTTGTAATTTGCAACGGTCGATCTCGGCAAGACGCAAGTGATCCCGAGAAATGTTTCATAAATACCACAACTAGTAACATTTCATCCCCAAAATCCGCTTAATGACAGTTATATAAATAAAGTTCAGTTACTTTCGTTTTCCTGTGTTGTCTCGGGTGATTTTGTGGGGTTTAGGGACGGTTATTCCCCACTTTGCACTTGTGCCCCTCCAAAGGCAAAGGAAAAACACAAGGTGTGCAACCTCCAGGATCGTCTGAGCCGGCTTCGAGCACGTTAAAAGTCGGTAAACGTGTAAAAACCAAGCCAAAAATCAGTGCGATTGCCCGCCTCTAACCACCTCGAAAGCCTGCTCGATTTCCGACCTTCGCTCATGGCTCGACCGTCGACACATGATATGGACCGAGTCTATGTCAAAAGATACCATGACCTCGTTATCATATACTTTCTCGTGACTGATGGTTGACACGGAGTGCGTAGAATTAATACCTGAGTAGTCTGACTTGCCTGGCAAGGTGGGGTAGTTACGAAAACGAAGACCTAAGACCCTCCTACGAAAACGAAGACCCCCTACGAAAACGAAGACCCCCTACGAAAACGAAGA